GGCGGAGAAGATAAACAACGGTACTATAGACAATCTCCTGTCCACAGACGGTGGAGAAGATAAACAACGGTACCATAGACAATCTCCTGTCCACTGACGGTGGAGAAAATAAACAACGGTACTATAGACAATCTCCTGTCCACTGTCGGTGGAGAAGATAAACAACAATACTATAGACAATCTCCTGTCCACAGACGGTGGAGAAGATAAACAACGGTACCATAGACAATCTCCTGTCCACTGACGGTGGAGAAAATAAACAACGGTACTATAGACAATCTCCTGTCCATTGATGGTTATGCAGATAAACAACTGTACTATAGACAATCTCCTGTCCACTGACGGTAGAGAAGATAAACAACGGTACTATAGACAATCTCCTGTCCACAGACGGTGGAGAAGATAAACAACGGTACCATAGACAATCTCCTGTCCACTGACGGTGGAGAAAATAAACAACGGTACTATAGACAATCTCCTGTCCACAGACGGTGGAGAAGATAAACAACGGTACCATAGACAATCTCCTGTCCACTGACGGTGGAGAAGATAAACAACTGTACTATATAAAATCTCCTGTCCACAGACAGTTATGAAGATAAACAACTGTACTATAGACAATCTCCTGTCCACTGATGGTAGAGAAGATAAACAACTGTACTATAGACAATCTCCTGCCCACTGACGGTGGAGAAGATAAACAATGGTACTATAGACAATCTCCTGTCCACTGACGGTGGAGAAGATAAAAAACTGTACTATATAAAATCTCCTGTCCACAGACAGTTATGAAGATAAACAACTGTACTATAGACAATCTCCTGCCCACTGACGGTGGAGAAGATAAACAACGGTACTACAATCTCCTGTCCACTGACGGTGGAGAAGATAAAAAACTGTACTATATAAAATCTCCTGTCCACAGACAGTTATGAAGATAAACAACTGTACTATAGACAATCTCCTGTCCACTGACGGATTGGAGGCCACTCTGATTCTTAAAATTATTGCGGGGGTTGTATCACAGGTTCATGTTCACAGGTTTCAATATTTTGTTAATTATATTGATGAAAACAAAGACAAAAAAATAATTGATCTCACTTTTATTAAAATACAGTAGATTTAACTTAAGGTTATATTTCAGTTAATATCATGTTTTCCTAAGGATGTACACCTCTGAAAAGTCAAAAACTTCCTGTATCAAACTTTTATTTCTTATATGGATTTTTGGAAAAAGGAGTTAATGGCATAGTAGAGAATGCCAAAAAAACTATATGTCAGTGTGTTCATTTTTGTGCTATGATCGGTCAAAGATAACACAACATGTGATTTTATTTGTTTTTTGGGGCTTTGACCATTTGCTGAAGAAATTCATACAATTTCTTCCAAGTGTGTTATCAGATATGTATGAATGTTTTTAGAATTGATGGAAATATTATTTTCTTTTAAATTTTGGAAGTAAAATATCTTAACCTTATTCTTTTAACTCAGAAAGCCGATTTTAGTTACCCCTACCCCCTCTTTTTTAAATGAATAAATACAATTTTTTTACCATTCTTTGCAGATTAACGCATAATAAAAAAAGTTCTATTTAAACTTTTTTAAATATTTAATGAATTAAAAGAAAATGTGTTTCTCTTTCTAAAACATCCACAAAAATGGGGCGGCTGTGTGCTTCTTTTTTTGTCCCATTATCATTAATTAATGTGTTAATTTTTACCTTTTTCAGGGTCAAAAATCAAAAGTGCTTCAGTTACACTAAATATGTGAAATAAATATCAATAACGCATAATTTTCCAGTTTGTTGCATATCATTTTTATCATATAAAACATGATAAAGTTGTACAGCAAAATTGAACCTGCTACAATTAAAAATGGCGACACGGTGACAATTTAAGTGATCAATCTAGTGTCAAAAAAGGTGAAATTTTGGCCTTTTTTGAAGCGCAAGAAATACACATTTATACATTTTTAAAATGGCCTCCAATTTGGTAAAATAAATCTTGTAAAAAAATGGGTGTGTTTGCTAATAAACTTGATCATAATTTGTTAAATATTACAAAAACCTGTTACACCAGATCAAAACGAGACTTGAACGTGATTGAAACCTCAGAAGAGTACATCCTTAAAAACCATTTTCCTCCATATTTGTATGTAGTATCCATTTTATGTCATGTGATTTAAAATGATCTACTAGGGCCTGTTCGTTTGTGCGGAACAACTGGTTTGTCTGTTGTCAAATGTTTATGCAGGCCTTGCAAGGCTTTGTCAAGGCTCGCCTAAAAGTAGCATCAGATTACTAGGTCCGACCTTATTTCATAAACGAACAACTCTGGTCCAACCGGTTCAACCGTTTGAATCCCATTAAACAGAAGCAGCCCTAGTATACCATGTTCTACACCAGTTGCCTACCATATTAAACATTATATGTTCAGGGTTATACATGAAACAATGGTGAATTTTCTCAGTCCACTGGCAAATAGCATTAACGTTCACCTGTCCAATAGGTGTCTTCACTGAACTGGATGGTTATAACATTGAGATGTATATGTAGGGCTTTTCTTAACTTTTTAATAAGTCAAAAACAAATTCATATGTTCTTTACACTAATACTTGATTAATACTGAGAGTGGTGTTATTTTCACAGAAAACAGGTACAGTAAAATGGTCTATGACATTATAAGAGCACACTGTATCAGATTTCAGTTATAAATTACAAACTATAGACAACCACTTTACTTAGTGACTATCTCATAATCACATACGCTTCATTTACTCAGGACAACATTCAATCTCACCCATATGGTCCAGTTCGTAAGCTCATTATATGGCATTAAATTGAAGAGACAGTATAAAGAAAGATCAAGATTTTGACTTGACGGTCAGATGAAACTTTTTTTTATCACCCAAATGTATTTTTATATAAATTGACGGTAATGTGATAAAAAGTACGCTGAATTTGTTTCCATTTTATTAGGCATTAATGAAAATTGCCCAAAAGTTTTCTTCTTCAATTCTGCAGAGCCTCATTAAAATAAAAACTTTGAGACTAGTGCCATCTTCAAGTTTATGCCAATATCTTTTGAAAGTTTTGTCTTCATTTTGAGGCCACAACAGGTTTTATCCCATCCCTACTGGATCTGACTCATACTGCCAGTTTCCATGTTGCACTGTGCACTATAATTTAAACAAGGTTGTGTTACCATGGTAACTCTAACTCCGTTTTGGCTGTAACTCATTGAATTAATGAACTGGAAAAGGAATGAGTTGTAAGCATTCAGCACCTTTTGATACAATGTTAACATGACAACACTGTTCTGTCTTCACGTGCTACGCCATTGTTATTCTGTTCATGTTATTAGCAAGCAAACTGAACATTATCACAAGATAATGTTGAGCAAAATATAATATGCATATAAAAATAATTGTCCGCATGTAATAAAGCAATACCTCATCTGACGTTGTAGTTATCCCATGTTAACAACCACTCGTGCTACACACCCGTGGACATGTTCATTCAGAGGAAAACTTGTGGTATCAGTGATGTCAGATAATGATATCTGCAATCACATTCATATCACATGAGGTAATACAGTCAAACTTGTATTAAGATATCACCCTTGGACACAACAAAAATATCTCATTTTAATAGACATTTATAAAATGCATGATTTATCAAATAACCTTTGAAAATGACAAAATTATTTATATAATATAACAAGGCCCTAAGGCTTTCAACAGACTCATGAGGGTATCTTTTTGACTTCCCAAAATTAGCTTTGATTGGATTTGAAAAGACATGTGTTTTGACCCTCCAAATTTAAGGGAAATAGATATTTAACTTGTGAAATTGCTTAATGCCAGGAGCCAACTGGAAGCCTGGTAAGCTCAAACACAAGACAAGATGGAATGTTTCAATACAGCTTCTTGTCATGTAAACTTCATAATAAATAATAATAATATGCCGTGCCGTGACTCAAACATGCAACCCTTCGATCACAAGCCCGGCGTCCTACCACTAGACTACCGCGCCTCCTTAAAAAATCATTTGCCCTGGTAAATATTTTATCTTACATATGAAAAAGTAGAAAACTTGACAAATGGATTAGACATAATTAAATAAATTATAATCGACAAACAAAATACATTGATATCATGTAATTAAAAAGAAATCATGAAAAAGACTTCCTGTATATTTCCATATCAAAACTGCCCAACTAAATGTTATAAACAGCTATATATTAAAGTTTTGATCTGGTGTAAATACACACAACACAGTTTATCACAATTGTTGTCCATTGTTACATTAAAGCACTTCCATTTCCAAAGCTAACATTTTGTGACCACAGCTGACTACCCTGTGTGTAGTATGTCAATCAACGCTCACACACATGAAGATGTGGTTTTACACATCAATATGAAGTATTTGTAAAAAGAATGTGTTTAACTAGAACAGTGGAACTCAATATTAAAATACTTATTGCAAATTCTTGTTAAAATGAAGTACCGGTAATCGTTTTGTTTATTGGTGAGGCATAGTCTCTCAAACATTTAACTAAAACAAATTTTGTCTATAGTAAAGCAAAATCTTAGGTCCCCCAAGGTACATCGTTAACCTACTATTACTGTAACTTGATGAAGGATGGAGCATCAATGCCAAGGAGTCTGTAGGTTTAGAATTTATTAGTTTACATGTTTCGGTTGGCTAGGCCAACCGTCTTCAGAACCAGTTTGTTCTGAAGACGGTTGGCCTAGCCAACTGAAACATGTAAACTAATAAATTCTAAACCTACGGAATCCTTGGCGTTGATGCTCCATCCTTCATCAAGTTGGAATACAATTTATTTACTAGCCTTTAAGACTACCAAAGATACAAAACTGCAATGGTTCCAGTATAAATTTCAAAATCAAATTCTACCAGTAAATAAATATTTGAAAAAGATTGGCATAACAAATAATATGACAAGTGTAACCTATGCAAAAATTNCCCCCCACCCCCACTCTTTTATTTTCTACTATTACTGTAGATAACTATCCCCTCAGAGTGTCAAATAAATATGTTTACCGTAGTTAAATACAGTGATTTCTGTGATCCCCTGGGGTCCATTTTAAATGTTTTCCTCTACATTTTGCAATTCCTTTTGTCCGGTAGAAAATGAAATTATTTTCCAAACTAAATTTTATGGATTCATGTAAAGTTCAAAAATAAAATTACATAATTTCTACAAGACATCTAGTGTACCAATGTACATCTGAACATAACCGACTCCCATCCACACTCCTGTTGCGCGAAGCATATCACACATTCCTGGGTACAGATCACGTCGGGACTGTGGTAGAACTCTGTAGTATTTTGCCAGCCATGATCTTCTGTTCAGCCTTGAGGCGTTTGTAGTCGCCCCTCAGAAAAATGATTCCTATCACACCAGCCAGGGTCCCGTAACATAACATAAAAATAATTGGATCTGAAATAGAAAAAAAACTGTTACTATTCAATACTAGTATGATACTGTATCAATTTATTTTTATTGGCTAGAACACAGTTCTCTTTTTGTGTGTGTGTGTGTGTGTGTGTGTGTGTGTGTGCGTTGAGATCACTGCAGTATCTTTTTTTTCATTTAAAAACAAATAATTGTTCTTATAATTTGAAATTTGAAAGTCCATCGTCTATCAATATCAAATCACATGAAATAAAATACCAATGAAAATGGTTTGGTTTACAGGGTTACTGGGAAGGTGGTAGCTCCAGTGACAATTGTTTGGTTTACAGGGTTACNGCTCCAGTGACAATTGTTTGGTTTACAGGGTTACTGGGTTAGTGGTGGCTTCGGTGACAATTGTTTGGTTTACAGGGTTACTGGGTTAATGGTAGCTCCAGTGACAATTGTTTGGTTTACAGGGTTACTGGGTTAGCAGTAGCTCCAGTGACAATTGTTTGGTTTACAGGGTAACTGGGTTAGTGGTGGGTCCAGTGACAATTGTTTGGTTTACAGGGTTACTGGGTTAGTGGTGGCTCCAGTGACAATTGTTTGGTTTACAGGGTTACTGTGTTAGCAGTAGCTCCAGTGACAATTGTTTGGTTAACAGGGTTAGTGGGTTAGTAGTGGCTCCAGTGACAATTGTTTGGTTTACAGGGTTACAGGGTTAGTGGTGGCTTCGGTGACAATTGTTTGGTTTAAAGGGTTACTGGGTTAATGGTAGCTCCAGTGACAATTGTTTGGTTTACAGGGTTACTGGGTTAGTGGTAGCTCCAGTGACAATTGTTTGGTTTCAGGGTTACTGTGTTAGTGGCAGCTCCAGTGACAATTGTTTGGTTAACAGGGTTAGTGGGTTAGTAGTGGCTCCAGTGACAATTGTTTGGTTTACAGGGTTACTGTGTTAGCGGTAGCTCCAGTGATAATTGTTTGGTTTACAGGGTTACTGGGTAGGTGGTAGCTCCAGTGACAATTGTTTGGTTTACAGAGTTACTGTGTTAGCGGTAACTCCAGTGACAATTGTTTGGTTTACAGGGTTACTGTGTAAGCGGTAACTCCAGTGGCAATTGTTTGGTTTACAGGGTTACTGGGTAGGTGTTAGCTCCAGTGACAATTGTTTGGTTTACAGGGTTACTGGGTAGGTGGTAGCTCAAGTGACAATTGTTTGGTTTACAGGGTTACTGGGTTAGTGGTAACTCCAGTGACAATTGTTTGGTTTACAGGGTTACTAGGTTAATGGAAGCTCCAGTGACAATTGTTTGGTTTACAGGGTTACTGGGTTAGTGGTAACTCCAGTGACAATTGTTTGGTTTACAGGGTTACTGGGTAGGTGGTAGCTCAAGTGACAATTGTTTGGTTTACAGGGTTACTGTGTTAGCAGTAACTCCAGTGACAATTGTTTGGTTTACAGGGTAACTGGGTTAGTGGTGGCTCCAGTGACAATTGTTTGGTCTACAAGGTTACTGGGTTAGTGGTAGCTCCAGTGACAATTGTTTGGTTTACAGGGTTACTGGGTTAGTGGTAGCTTCAGTGACAATTGTTTGGTTTACAGGGGTACTGGGTTTAATATTTGTAGTTCCTGTTTGGTTTACAGGGTTACTGTGTTAGTGGTAACTCCAGTGATAATTGTTTGGTTTACAGGGTTACTGGGTTAGTGGTAGCTTCAGTGACAATTGTTTGGTTTACCGGGTTACTGGGTAGGTGGTAGCTCAAGTGACAATTGTTTGGTTTACAGGGTAACTGGGTTAGAGGTGGCTCCAGTGACAATTGTTTGGTCTACAGGGTTACTGGGTTAGTGGTAACTCCAGTGACAATTGTTTGGTTTACAGGGTTACTGGGTTTAATATTTGTAGTTCCAGTGACAATGGTTTGGTTTACAGGGTTACTGGGTAGGTGGTAGCTCCAGTGACAATTGTTTGGTTTACAGGGTTACTGGGTAGGTGGTAGCTCAAGTGACAATTGTTTGGTTTACAGGGTTACTGGGTAGGTGGTAGCTCAAGTGACAATTGTTTGGTTTACAGGGTTACTGGGTTATTGGTAGCTCCAGGGACAATTGTTTGGTTTACAGGGTTACTGGGTTATTGGTAGCTCCAGTGACAATCTATGGTTTCCTGTTAAGTGTGTATTAAAGTATCACTGACCTGTCCAGTCCTGAGGAGTAAATCCATCGGCAGCGTCCGCGCCACAACCTACAACAGGAATTCATACTCAAATCTCACTCAATCTTCTACATATGTACTCAGGGAAATAGGTAAGCAATGCTTCATTGTAAACTCTGAAAATCAAAGGAAAATACCATAGAGCAGGATATGTCGCTATTTCGCAGGTCAACAATGTGACCGCGAAAATATGATCTGCAGAATAATATGACGAGCATAACAAACAGCCTTCACATGTCTGGATTGCAGAATTATAGTCCGTGTAAATTTAATTCTCTATTTTTGTCAAAATCACAAAAATTTAAGCCTGCGTAACTAACACATTACATAGTAGATTCTGTGATGTTTGTTATAAGCATAAGTTTCTGTAATGTTTTAATATAAACATTGTTTGTTTTAATAAAATACATTCCGTGTCATTACACTTAATTATACTTAAATGGAATTATTTGATATGGTGAATTATAAATAACACAAAATATAATGGAGGATTTTTAATCCCAACACTGACCTAAAACAATATACAGAATAATGCATCAAACCAACCCAGGCTAAAACAAAGTACAGTATTAAAGTAGAATACCTACCCACTACACAGCGTGAATACTGCATTTCTGTGGCAGGGAGGGGCTGGGCTAATACCTGGGCCACCAGTATCATAATGATTCCCTGTACTTGTCTGTAACAAATAGGTCAGGACTTCATACCGACATGGCACACACTTCATATTCATATGGTAACATTTCATACTCATTCGCCACAAAATTTTGGTCAAATTTTCGTAATTATATTGTTGACTTCTTGCACAGGAGAAAGGGAGTTGCAGGTCAATATCCGGTTTTGTTAAAACCTGAGCTTGGTTACGGCCAATTATAACAAAGCAGAAACGAATATCAAAGTGATATCAAACTTACCCAGACACAACCAGAAGACCAGAACTTGTTGCCTCGGCGACAGGATACGTGATCTCTACAGCCATTTCAAGACTTATAGGGTACAGGGCAAACCCAAACATCCCGAATACACAGATAGAGGCTGCTATCAACGCTTCCTGGTCTCTCAAGCGGGAAACCTGACGAAATAATCATAAATAGATGATTGGTGCTGACATTATTTATATCTTTATAAAACTTTATTTTGTCAGATGTTACATTCCGACATCTGTTAAAGTAATTTCTTTTAATCCTTCCTGTATAGTAACTCCTGCTAAAAACACCTCTATAATCCCACATAAACAGTCTATTGATTTTACCTCCATAAAACCAACAGCAAACACAATGGCCATCGCAAACGACACCTTGACGACCTCCTCAAACCGCTTGGTCTTGTCCACATAGATACCAGAAATGACGGCCCCAAACAGTCCGCCTGCTATCATCAGCGCCCCACAGATACCCGAAAAATTCTGTAAATAGGAAAACACAGACATTAACATAATCACTTAATCATACACTCTGTAGTCATGTACCACATAAATGTTTGATATGTAACAAGCGTAATATCTAAGGCTACTTATGTTAGAAATGACTTTTTCTACACATTTTCTTCAGATTGGTAAGTATGGATTATGAAAAGTTCGCTTTACACAACCAGTGAGAGTTTCTATGTGACGTTTCGATGACTAGTACGGTATGTACTCTGTCACCTTTATCAGACAAATGACCAGTGAAGCGTTTGCACACAAAGGAATTAAATGTGTACGAGTTGTCCACAAAATCGTATACATTTGTCTGATAAAGGTGACAGTGTACATAGCGTACATGTCATCGAAACGTCACATAGAAAATCTTATTGGTTGTGTAAAAAGAAGTTTAAAATAACATATTTTTTATTTTTTTTGCCACTAATACCACAGGCATCATGTAACAAAATTTACAACAGATACATGTATCAAATGTGTGGCACCATTACAGGACCAGGTGGTCCCTTTGTCAAGCTATGACCGACAAAGTGTCCAAGTCACAGCTTGACAAATGGACAAGATGGTCTTGAAATGTAGTGACAAATTTTGATGCTTACATTGTTTATGTATGAAATAAAATTTGATACTTATATATTTTCATACTGGTCAATCTTATTGGCATCAATTATCCCTTGTTTTAATGATAACCCAATCATGTAATTAAATAAAAGACTCAAAACTAACTTCTATAACTGTTTGAGGTCTAGTGTTCAAATCCTGGTCTAGCCCCAATGAATTTTTACACTCGGAACACTGATGTTGAATGAGGTTGTTTTTTTTAATTTCATCTTTATCATTTTTTCATAAAAACTTCATGGTATGGTTTTCTTTTGATAAATAATTCATTTAAATTGTACTCATACCGGAAAAAAAAGTTTCCATCGTAACAGTTATTGACAGTGGTACAGGGATCCTCCACTGTTTGTAACAGTTATTGACAGTGGTACAGGGATCCTCCACTGTATCATAACAGTTATTGACAGTGGTACAGGGATCCTCCTCTGTTTGTAACAGTTATTGACAGTGGTACAGGGCTCCTCCACTGTATCGTAACAGTTATTGACAGTGGTACAGGGATCCTCCATTGTATCGTAACAGTTATTGGCAGTGGTACAGGGATCCTCTACTGTATCGTAACAGTTATTGGCAGTGGTACAGGGATCCTCCACTGTATCGTAACAGTTATTGACAGGGGTACAGGGATCCTCCACTGTATCGTAACAGTTATTGTCAGCGGTACAGGGATCCTCCACTGTATCGTAACAGTTATTGACTGTGGTACAGGGATCCTCCACTGTATCGTAACAGCTATTGACAGTGGTACAGGGATCCTCCACTGTATCATAACAGTTATTGGCAGTGGTACAGGGATCCTCCACAGTATCGTAACAGTTATTGACTGTGGTACAGGGATCCTCCATTGTATCGTAACAGTTATTGGCAGCGGTACAGGGATCCTCCACTGTATCGTAACAGTTATTGTCAGCGGTACAGGGATCCTCCACTGTATCGTAACAGCTATTGACAGTGGTACAGGGATCCTCCACTGTATTGTAACAGTTATTGACAGTGGTACAGGGATCCTCCACTGAATCGTAACAGTTATTGACAGTGGTACAGGGATCCTCCATTGCATCGTAACAGTTATTGGCAGTGGTACAGGGATCCTCTTCTGTATCGTAACAGTTATTGGCAGTGGTACAGGGATCCTCCACTGTATTGTAACAGCTATTGACAGTGGTACAGGGATCCTCCACTGTATCATAACAGTTATTGACAGTGGTACAGGGATCCTCCATTGCATCGTAACAGTTATTGGCAGTGGTACAGGGATCCTCCACTGTATCATAACAGTTATTGACAGTGGTACAGGGATCCTCCACTGTTTGTAACAGTTATTGACAGTGGTACAGGGATCCTCCACTGTATCTTAACAGTTATTGACAGTGGTACAGGGATCCTCCATTGCATCGTAACAGTTATTGGCAGTGGTACAGGGATCCTCCACTGTATCATAACAGTTATTGGCAGTGGTACAGGGATCCTCCACTGTATCATAACAGTTATTGGCAGTGGTACAGGGATCCTCCACTGTATCATAACAGTTATTGGCAGTGGTACAGGGATCCTCCACTGTATCATAACAGTTATTGACAGTGGTACAGGGATCCTCCATTGCATCGTAACAGTTATTGGCAGTGGTACAGGGATCCTCCACTGTATTGTAACAGTTATTGACAGTGGTACAGGGATCCTCCATTGCATCGTAACAGTTATTGGCAGTGGTACAGGGATCCTCCACTGTATTGTAACAGTTATTGACAGTGGTACAGGGATCCTCCACTGTTAACTGTTCCCACCCAAGTAATATCACCCTGGGGGCAAATAACAACTCAATGGTGTCATTAATTGAAAGTAAACTCAAAGCCAAACTCGGTGGGGATTTTTTCTTTAGATTTTTCCAGTCTAAATATTGATAAAATATGTATAATGCATGTTTTTTGGTCAGCTGAAAAATTGTCTGATGAATAAGTGAGGTTACTGTCCGGTGATTAGACAGTTGATGTATATTACAATGTAGGTAGCCATTCATCTGTTTTTGTGTGTGTTCCTGAACATATTTTACTTCCAGGTTATTTTGTTTTTCAGAAAGTAAAAAAGAATATTTAGGATTAAAGCCATCACAGAATCAGTACATCTATTGTCTGTCTACTGCCACACTTACA